CACACACACACACACACACACACACACACACACACACACGCACACTTATGATTAACCAATCGAAATGAGGTTATTGCATACACACTCTCTCAACACACATCCACAGACACATTTAGACACACTCCGGCAGCACACACCCGCACCCGCATATACACACTCTCACAAACACGCGTCATCACTTAAACACAAACACAGAGACACGTACACTCTCGTTTGATGACTCACTTGCACCGGTCTACGGTCTATTATCGGACAACCACCCATCGTGCGAACCAGTCGGGCCGCCTGTACTGCTCTTTTTTTTTTCTTTTTTTTTTTTTTTTTCTCTCCTTTGTTTTTTTAACACAATGCAAATGCCGAGAGACATCATCAACACACTCAGTCGCACAGTGCTGGTTCTCGACGGAAAAGGGCCGCCTGTACTCTTCCCTTTTTCCTTTTCTGTCTTCTCTGAATCGCTCTGTTGTCCTCTTTTTTCGCTTTCCTCCTGATGATTTCTCATGTTCCCTGCTCGCTCTAGCTCGCTGTCATCTTGTGCCTTGGCCCTGTTGTCTTCCCGCAGACATGCCGGTCATATTTTCGAGTAGAGCACTAAATGTCTCACGTATCCGATGTACGCGAACTGGCTAAGTACGAGAACTGGATCTTCTGTCAGATGCAGACAGATTGTGTGCCAAGTACAAGGGCGATGCAGCCGCTCCTCATGTGATATGTGTATTTACGTATACAGCTCTCTCTCTCTCTCTCTCTCTCTCTCTCTCTCACTGCCTTTTTATTACCGTTCTGAGACGTGCTTCCTAAGGCAAACGGAACGGACGTGTACCAACGGGCCCAGCCCACTTGGTACATCCATACACTATTGAGATACAGACCCAAGTTCGGATCCAGATGGAATGAGTTGAATAGAAAAAAAAAACAAATGGACGTGTTCACAGAGAGGCTTGCCGTGAAGAAAGAAAGAAGAAGAAGGTAAACAATTTGAACGACTGGCGTATTTGAATGACTGGCGTATTTGAATGACTGGCGTATTTGAATGACTGGCCTATCACTTGCTTCAGGAGAGCATAAGATTACACCATGATGAGAGTTGAAAAATGAAGGCTGAGAGAATGAAAATAAGCGCTCACTTGTACAGAGAACATTACTGTATCGTAGCCATTGCTCAAGGGTGAAGAATATAGCTTTTTTTTTTTTTTTTAAAAGAAAAAAAAAGGGTGTGCTCAAGGGTGACACGCACGAATCGGTAAAAAAATAGAGCGAAAAGATGAGCGTTCACGATATTGACTAAGTCTTGTCTCACTACTGCCGCCTCCTTCTGCTTCCCCTCCTTTTCACTTCTCTCTCTTCTTCCTCCTGCGCTTCCCCCTCCTCGGATCATCCTGCCTTTGTCAATCCTGCTGATACACATAATCGACTTCATCACAGTATGCACGAAATTGGAATTTGTGCGGAATGCAATGCGGGTAGAAATGGTTCCCGCCGAATCTTTTTTCCTTTTTTTTTTTTTTTTTTTTCCTTGTACAATTTCTCGATTTGTGCGTGTGTCACCCATGCGCAGGGGTCATGCTGATTTTCTTTCTGTGTCGTTCCGATTTTAACGGGATGTCCCGAAGGACAGATGTTTTAGCTTTGGGTCAGATCCCACTCTCCTGGATTATTCATTTTTCACCCTTGATTACGATCATCAACGGTCAGAAATGAACAATAGGGCCTACCCTCTTCCCCCGATCACAACGCACCCTTATTTTGGCTGTTTCTGGCCGGCAATATAGCTTGTATACATTCATTTTTAGGGTGCGTTATGTTCGGGGGAAGACGGTAGTGGGATCTGCCCCTCTTACGAACGAGATGCGGCAGCACTTGATTTGTTGTCTTGGCTTCCACACTCGATCGGGATATCCCGGCGGAAAACGAGGGGAGGGAGCGCCGGGCGTTTTGAAAAGTTTTCAGATCGATCAGTCTCCACTTTCCTCCCGCCCTGTCTCTTCTTAGTGTCTGCTTATCATTTTCGCTTCGTCCTGACGCGCCGCGTATTTTTTGTTTTTGTTGTTGTATTCACTTTTCCATTCACCACCGCACCGTCTTCTCTGGCGTGCAATCGTGACAGGGGTCCTTCGTCAGAACCATGTACATGTACTTTTCTCCACCACCCGAATATAACGCGCGGTTTCGATAGCTGTATTTGATGCATCTTTCGGTCTAGATTATGATAGCGATCATGACCGGACGTTCTTCACTTCACGGGTGAAGACGGTAGTCATCGCGATCGAGGATGAAGTGAAAACGATAGGAAGCGAAAACGATAGGAGAAGGAGAAAGACAAGCAATGGCCGATTGCTCTTCACACGCACTTCGAAAGATATTTCGAAAGATTAAAAAAAAAAAAAAAAAAAAGATAGGCGGAAAAGAAACCACGGTAAATGCATCTTAATGCATTTTACTAGTAATGCATCCCTGCATTTTACTAGTAATGCATCCCAATGCATTTTAATGCGTCCAAGATGAAATACTTATTGACTTAATGATATGAAATGGCGGAAGGCGGTTAAAATATGCCATCTCTCTCTCTCTCTCTCTCTCTCTCTCTCTCTCTCTCTCTCTCTCTGTGTCTACGCAACTATCTGTGGACTTTGTTTTGTTTAGTGTGCGAGCTTGCGTGAGTGCGGGACTTATCTCTCTCCCTCCTCCGCATCTGTCTCTGGACATTTGCACAGAGTGGGACAATCGACCTCGTAGCACAGAACTGGATCGAACCACGTGATAATCCAACTACATCGGAAGCGAAACGAACGGCCATTTCCCTGTCGCTAGCGGACGAAGGCGCGGCACCGTCGTGCCTACGACTTGGCGAGTCCAACTACCCTCTTCACCCGAATAGAACGCCCGCTCATTATAGCTGTATTTGGGGCAACTTTCAGTCTAGATACAGCGATAATGACTGAGCGTTCTATTCGGGTGAAGACGGTAGAACATTCCTCCCGTTAACGGAGTAAGGGGACCACCTCAAATACGGCGTATCTAAATGTGTAGAGCGCGCGCGTGTGTGAGATAAAGAGATATATAGATAGATTTTATTATTTTTTTTTTTTGTGTGTGTGTGTGTGTGTGTGTGTGTGAGAGAGAGAGAGAGAGAGAGAGAGAGAGA